TAAAATTTGGGGGTGGATTGTGACGGCCCAATATTATTATTAATAATTAAATTCAATATAAAGGGGCGTCAAAAATAGTATTAAAAGATATATATTAAGCAATTAAGTTAAATTAATAAACATAAAGTTAATATATTTCAGACATTATCCCAATAACATAGTAAATTAAAGGCAAAATTATTGTTTTTCGTAATAAATAAATTTATTTAAAAACTTGAAAAAATATTTAAAATAAGATAAATAATAGAAATACAAGTCAAAAAATATTATAAAATTAAGTTAAATAACGTTTATAAGATAATTAGAAAATTTGTTAAAAATTGTTTAAGTCATGGGAGGTGTTCGTGTATAAAAGAAAATTTTTCTAAGTTGTGGAAGGAGTTCACGTATAGATGAAATTTCCTAAGTTGTTGAAGGAGTTCATGTATTAAAGAAAATTTTCCTAAGTTATGGAAGGTGTTCACGTATAGATGTCTTGTATGGAGGAAGCTGTCGGAGGTACATACCTGCAGTTGTACATATATATGGGGTGGTCGGGAGCCCGACTGCCTGAAGTACTGTAGCACAATGACTAGTCCTATATTAGGGACTTATGATATTAAACTCAATGATACAAAAGCAATACTAAAGAAGGTCTCCATGATGAATTTGCATTACAATAGTAGGGTCGTGGGTTCGAACCCTATATATTAATGACTTATGAAAGTAAGGTCTATGATCCAAAAGCAATACTATAGAAGGTCTCTATGAATAATATGCATTACAATAGTAGAGTCGTGGGTTCGAATCCTATATATGAATGACTTATGAAAGTAAGGTCTATGATACAAAAGCAATACTATAGAAGGTCTCTATGATTAATATGCATTACAATAGTAGGGTCGTGGGTTCGAATCCTATATATACATGACTTATGAAAGTAAGGTCTATGATACAAAAGCAATATTATAGGAGGTCTCCTTGATGCATAAGCATTGTATGGGGTGGTCGGGTGACTGACTGCTCCTAGTACTGTAGCAAAATGACTAGTCCTTATTAGGGACTTGAAAAGGAATATTATGGTGGCGTGTGTGCTGCTTCACGAGCAACTGGTCCGAGGTAAACTTGGACTCGCTAACCGATGTGTCCTAGACATATCATCTTAGTGCCGGTGGTAAGCGGGTTTGTTGTAGCAATACGGCTTTCCCGTGGACATCGCACACCCATACCGTTTGTGGGCGACGTCGTTGCGCATAGCGATGTGTCGTCTATCTTTCGGATTGGGATGATGAGTGTGTTTGGTAGCACTTTTAAGTGTAACAGTCATACTCTACTTCATGTCTTAGTGCATTAGCGCTATGATACGTGGAGTTTTGTCCACTGGCGTCTTAGTAGCGTACTACTATGATACGTTGGTGATATTTTTTATATAACAACAATAAAAACTTTGTTGCCGAAATCGATAGGAGTCATGTGGGTGTGTTGTGAGTGGGCGCCACCCGTATGATAGTTGCTTTGATGCTTACTGCTACTTGCGGTATTGCGTCTTGTGATGGATCTGCGGGTGTGCTGCGCCTGATTCGACGCATTCCTGTGGTTCTGGTCGATGGAGGTATACAATTAACATCTTAGTGCCGGTGTTAAGCGGGTTTGTTGTAGCAATACGGCTTTCCTGTGGACATCGCACACCCATACCGTTTGTGGGCGACGTCGTTGCGCATAGCGATGTGTCGTCTATCTTTCGGATTGGGATGATGAGTGTGTTTGGTAGCACTTTTAAGTGTAACAGGCATACTCAACTTCATGTCTTAGTGCATTAGCGCTATGATACGTGGAGTTTGTTCATTGGCGTTTTAGTAGCGTGCTACTATGATACGTTGGTGATATTTTTTATATAACAACAATAAAAACTTTGTTGCCAAAGTCGATAGGAGTCATGTGGGTGTGTTGTGAGGGGGCGCCACCCGTATGATAGTTGCATTGATGCTTACTGCTACTTGCGGTATTGCGTCTTGTGATGGATCTGCGGGTGTGCTGCGCCTGATTCGATGCATTCCTGTGGTTCTGGTCGATGGAGGTATACAATTAACATCTTAGTGCCGGTGGTAAGCGGGTTTGTTGTAGCAATACGGCTTTCCTGTGGACATCGCAGATCCATACCGTTTGTGGGCGATGTCGTTGCGCATAGCGATGTGTCGTCTATCTTTCGGATTGGGATGATGAGTGTGTTTGGTAGCACTTTTAAGTGTAACAGGCATACTCAACTTCATGTCTTAGTGCATTAGCGCTATGATACGTGGAGTTTTGTTCATTGGCGTTTTAGTAGCGTGCTACTATGATACGTCAGTGATATTTTTTATATAACAACAATAAAAACTTTGTTACCAAAGTCGATAGGGATCATGTTGGGTGTGTTGTGAGGGGGCGCCATCCGTATGATAGTTGCATTGATGTTTACTGCTACTTGCGGTATTGCGTCTTGTGATGGATCTGCGGGTGTGCTGCGCCTGATTCGACGCTCTCTTGTGGTTCTGGTCGATGGAGGTATACGGGTGGTGATGTCTGCTGGGATGTATGGGGGGACTTTGGAATGGTGTAAGCCCGACGATAGTCGTATTGATGCTTGTTGCGTTCTGCAGCATTGCGTCTCTGCGATGGTTGTTTGGTGGGACGCTATTCTCAATGGCGCTCTCTGCGTCTTGGTTTGACTCACACCTAAGTAGCTTTGCCCAAGTCGGGTCCCTTCATTGCGGGGCTGCAGACTGTCTGCCCTCCACGATGTTTTATATAACAACATAATATTATATCTCTGTAACTTTCCCACCTTTGAATGATTGAAGGCAACTTGTCGGTGGGTGAGACAAACATGATCGAAAATGCATTTACTCAACGTCAGTGACACAAACCCTTTCTGATGGCGAATTATTACTCTTATCTTATAACTGCCTTTTGGCTATATCTGCCGTTGTATTGGTTGGTGGAGCATATGTGTCGACCTCATGCGGGTGGTAGCTGGCGGGAGGATCTGAGGAGACTCTCAAGGCTGCGGCCGAAAGCCGCACAACGTGGGACCCCATTCCCTTGAGGTGAGCGGTAGACTCATGACACGCTCTGCGGCTAGTAGCCGTGCTGATCATGCAACTGGTGGTGATGCCATACACTTACATCACGTCTGCAGGAGCGGCGGTCTGGCAGGTGGTGGCGCTCACGGAGGGTTTACGGCCAGTGTGCCTATTTGCCTAAACCGTGTGACGTACATTCACTCTGGCTGGATTCGTTCGTATTCTGTTTGGCGTTTACACGCATTGACATGCGCGACTTCGGTCGATGTTTGTGCTTACGCACTAGCAAGGGGCCAAGCCTCTTTTACTGGTTCACCAGTTATTTTGCTGTGGACTACGGTCCAGTTCCCGAATTAGCTTTCCCTTCGGGGGGGAGTGCATCAAAATGGTTGGCACTCACCGTGCACGGCGTGTGTGGGGCCGTGTACCTCCCCTACATTTTTTTTAAATAAATGTAGGAGAGCGAAGCCCTTGTATCGGGTATTTTGTATAAATATATTTTGAGCCTTTTCCGAGCGGGAAGGGATAATTAATAATGTAAACCTGATGCAAGTGGAATAGGGACGTTTTATGTTCTTAACCTTTTTCGAGCCCTGTCTTCGTGAACGGGGTTCACTTAGCTTATAAGGCACTACCAACAGCTTTCAATTGCTCTAGTGAATATTCATTCTTCCAAAAGACACCTAAAAGAACTAAGTTACTAAACAAACACAACGTAAATAAGGGTCCTAACTAAGACGATCACGCCAAAATATTAAAACCGGCCTATTAATAAACCTTTTGAAAGATCATTTAGAAAGATCAAAACATATTTTATTTATCCTGGTCACATATATATAATTTTTATCGAAAAGGGGTAAATTAATTATATCTAATATATTTATTATTATATGAGAGAGGGGGGAAGACCGTTACAATTTGAAAACAAACTTTAATAATAAACTAAAATAGACGAAACATAACTGTTACCATTTATTAGGCATTTAATATCAGACTTTTTGTGAATTTTGACAAAAATCAATGACTTTTTGGCATCAAACCTTCTCAGTCTCCTTTTTTTACTCGCTCATATCTTCCACACGGTCTTTATCATTTTTAAAACAGTCAAGGCATTTAAGAACTTGATGTTGAGGACGAATCCACTTTTTGCAGGTGTCACATTGTTTTCTAGTGGACTTATTGCGCGCTCTGCCACAAAAGGAACATTTCCCGACTCGACCAGTATTGGGGAGTTGTGCTGGGCATGGTTGTAATTCCGATGGCTCTTTCATGCCCAAAAGCATTTTCCCTTTCATTTTCAATGATTTTGGAATACTTTCAATATTTATTCTGCGTTGTATGCATAGCGCGACTAGGTGAAAACCAAGTTCATATAAAAAATCCTTCCTGGCCTTATTTCTGTAGTCCTTGTTTTTTGTATGTACAGTATAACCGTTTATAGCACTTATATTCATTAAATTGAAAAAAAATGGTAAGTGGCCATCGCCTAGAATTTTTGGAGACGTCATAAATAGGGTAGGGCGGGGCTAGTTGAGCATAGGGGCAAGTTGGGCAACCGAAATATCTCGCAAACTATTCACCGTACGCATAGGCATCGTATGGCGGAAAGAAGGAGTCGCGGGAGGGGTAATCACCATGCAATCGCTAGTGGCGGCTGGACGAACGAGTGAAGCGCCCGTGCGTTTTGTTTATTTTGTGATCAAAAAGTAAAAACGTCGTTTATCGCAAGTTTTCGTCTGCATTAGTCAATTGTTATCTGTTTTCAATCAGGTAAGTGTTAATCTTCCAGAGAATTATTGTACTTTTGATATGTAGAGAGGTTATGGGTATAATTCTTACGATTTTTTTATAACCTCGCTTTTGTTTTAAAATTCCGGGTTGAGGTTAGTTGAGCTATAGTTGCTCAATTTACCACACGACTCAAACAACTAAAGTAATGAATGTTTTATTTTTTGTTAGGATGCGGACTTACAAGAGGAAGACTACAAGATGTTCTTACACTACTGAAGATTTAAAAAATGCTGCAAAGGCCGTCAACGATGAAGGAAAAAGTGTTAATGCCGCCGCTAAAGAATTTGGTATCAAACGGATGATTTTGACAAGATTTTTGAAGAAATTAAATGAAGGTGGTGATTCATCCATGGGCTATGCAACACCGAGGCAAGTATTTTCTCCTACACAGGAAGACTCTCTGAAAAAATACTTGCTACAAATGGCATCAATCTTCTATGGATATTCTCCAAAAGACGTCCGTCGCCTTGCTTACGAATGTGCTGTTAAATTTGGCATTAAAATTCCACCCAGCTGGACTGCAAATACGATGGCCGGAAAAGAATGGCTTACGATGTTTTTAAAACGAAATTCGGAGCTATCCATACGAAACCCAGAACCCACCAGCCTTGGTAGGGTAACATCATTTAATGAGCAGAATGTAAAAATTTTTTTGAGAAATTAGCGAAAGTAATGGATAGATATGGATTTACTGCGGCAGACATTTGGAATATAGATGAGACAGGAGTATCCACTGTGCTGAAGCCAAATAAAATTGTAGCTGCCAAAGGTAAGCGCAATGTCGGCGCAATGACTTCTGGGGAACGAGGCACTAACGTTACAGTAGTAACTGCTGTATCTGCTCTTGGAAATGCTGTACCTCCTATGTTTGTATTTCCGAGAAAACAGTTTAAGACACACTTTATTAACGGTGGTCCACCTGAATGTATAGGAGCAGGCAATGCCAGTAGAAGGGTTACAGACGACGAATTCCATCAGTTTATGCAACATTTTATTAAACATGTGAAACCGTCCATGGAGCGCCCTGTTTTGTTAGTGTTGGATAATCACTCCTCTCACTTGAACGTGAAGACACTAACTTTGGCCAAAGAGAACGGAGTTGTAATGCTGTCCTTTCCACCGCATTGTAGCCATAAATTACAACCGTTGGATGTGTCAGTCTTTGGACCGTTCAAAAAGTATTGCGCTGCTGCTCAAGATGCATGGCTACGAAACAATCCGGGGAAAACCCTTACTATTTATGATATACCAAAAATAGTCGCTGATTCGTTGCCGTTTGCTCAGACAAGTATAAATATTGTTAACGGTTTCCGAAAAACAGGCATCTTCCCGTATAATGCAAACATTTTTGGTGAGGATGAGTTTTCACCATCATTTGTAACCGATCGTCCTGAACCAGAAACTATCGAGCCGGAAAAAGATCATCCAGAGCAAGCTGTGATGTCCAGCACTGAACCTAATCCCACTCATTCTGCTTCCACCAGCCAAGCTGAACCCGAACCTGGTCCAAGCAACAAAAAAAACGAGACGATCGACCTAATACAAGTATTTTCCCCGGAAATTGTACGACCATACCCAAAGGCTGGCCCTAGAAAAGCAGCTAAAACTAACAGAAGAAAGAGGAAAGCTGCAATACTAACAGACACTCCCGAAAAGAACGCTTTAGAAGAACAGCAAAATAAAACCACAAAAAAAGTTAAGAAGCCACAAGAAAAGGAAGAAGGGTATTTGTAAAAAAATACTCCAGTCAAGTGATGATGATAATTATTCCTGTCTGATTTGTTGCGAAGGCTATGCTGAAAGTTTACCAGGAGAAAAGTGGATCCAGTGTCTAACTTGCAGGGAATGGGCACATACAAAATGTGTTCCAGGTGCTGGTCTTACTTTCGTTTGTGTCAATTGCAACAGTGACAACGACGATTAAGTTGCTAAGATCTTAATAATATATTTTTTTGAGATATTTAAGTCTGACTTTAAACAGAAAGACTGAATCTAATCCTAAAGTTAGTCTTGAGATACGTTGATGTTTTGTTTATTCTATTTTCAGTTAATTATCCAAAAAAAATTACTTCAAGTTTTGTTGTTCTGTCACTAAGACTATATAAACTTACTTTCATTTTTGTCAATTGCAACAGTGACAATGACCATTAAGTTCCAAAGATCTAATTAATTTTTTAAAGATATAAGCTATATTTGTAATAATATAAACATTTAAGTCTTATTTTGAACAGAAAGACTGAATCTAATGCTGAAGTAAATATTAAGATACGCTAATGTTTTGTTGATTCTAGTTTTGGTTAATTATTCAAAGAAAATTACTTTAAGTTTTGTTGTTCTGTCACTAAAAGACTATAAATAAAGAGCTGATTGTCAAACACATATTTTACTTCATCTCTAGTCAACATTGAACCCATGGTTTGGTTAGACATTCTTAGTGCTCAACTTGCCCCATACCCTTGCTCAACTTACCTCACCTATGGGGTACATTGAGCGTACTTGACTTTCTGCATTTAAACAGCTGTAGCTCCTAAATTCGACTTGTTACTTATTTACGACTATGGACACTTTTGCTAAGGGATAAATTACTAATCCATCAAGCCGCATAACAACTCATTGAGACTTATTATTGAGGAGCTATATCCGCTCATGTGAAAAATTGCTCAACTAGCCCCGCCCTACCCTACTACAAATAATGTCCACGCCATATTTGGTATTGTTGTAAAAAGTTATATTTCCGGCTTACGTTTCTCTGCTGTTTGTAAATCGATATGATCATCATAGTGCATAGTTGAGTAAATAAGCACCACTTTCTTTGATTTTGGCATGTAAGATACTAAAGTACCTTGTTTTTGAAAGTCAAAAATTGAACTCGTTTCGCTTCTGTTTCTTGTGATTTTGAATTCTTTGGGAATTTGTGGCTTATCTTTCAACACAGTGCCTACGACAGTAATTTTGCTACCTAAGAGTTCTAAGCATTGAGGTATATTCGTGAACCAATTGTGCATTGTGACGTTATAACCTAAACCATCCAATGGGGTAAGCATTCGTAGCACAATGTCCACAACTTTATTTGATTGTGCATAAGGACCATCTGGCTGAGCACCTGCGTATATTTCCATATGGTAGGCATAAGGGGATTCACATATTTTTACTAATGGATACAAATCCATTAGTAAAAATATGTGAATCCCATACTTTGCTGGTTGCTTATAACTGACTTCTTCCAACCATCTCAAAATATGTGCCATCATTGTGCGAAATATAGTTACTTCGGTTAAAAATAATATTATCAAATAAAAAAATTCATAATAACACTATTTATACATAATATAAACACTTACATAAAATAAAAACGATAGGTAAACTTCCGACAAAAATGACACGCGAGTGCTCGCGCGCTCTACTATTGTAGAATTTTAGTTTTGGTGCGAAATTTCTAACAAGTGCGATCGCGCAGTTTGCCGAAAGGGTACTAATTGTGATCACCAGCTAGTAATAGAGGAATACTATGAGTGTGTGCGTTAGACACCCACAATTAATGTTAAAATCCCACGAAATGCATGCCTGTTCTACAATAGTAGAACGCGCGACTAATGGAGTGTTAAGTTGATTTTTCGAAGTGTTCCTAACTTTTGCCAAAGCTTGTTTGTTTTTTTTTTCTAAATAAATACTTATACTATTTATAGCATAAGTTGATCGAAGATAGCATACGACTTTGTGTTTTTGTCTCTGTCCTTCTGCTAGTTTTGGGTATATAGGGCGGCAAAGCTTAAGGTGACCATATTACCTTAAGTGAGAGTAGGTATACCTACCTATGTATGCATTATTTTTCATCATCATCAATATCACAGTATATCAAAGTCCACTGCTAAACTTTCGCCATAGTTGCCACGCTAGGCAAGGGGTTATTTTTGTTTATTAGTTTTTATTATTAGTTATTTAGGGACTGCGGTGTTTGTTATCTTGAAATCTCTATCTATCCCAAGTTATACCAGTCACTCGACTCCAAAGAGTCAATAATTTTTTCATGGGATCGCATATCATGTTGTTACTAAATGTTTTCATATTAATTGTATAAAATATTATATTGCTATTATTATTATTATTATTATTATTATTTAAAATGCTCCGCTGTGTTTATTGCTGGTTCTTCCTAGGACAGAAGCTTTTTCCGAAACAGTGATACAGGGGACACAGTCCACCTGATGGTAAGTGGTTGCTGTGACCCATAGACATCTACATTTATCCTCGATTAAGAATAAAAACACAGATGCGTTGTCACCCCTGAGAAGTAAGATTGAATGACTCGTTTCCAGTAAAAAAGGATCTCCGGAATAGTGAGTGTAGAGATCCGGAGACCACAGCAGTATTAGGTTGCTATTTTATGTTTGTATTATACATATATTGTGTCAGAGTGTGGTCCATCCCCGGTCGAGCCGACCCATTCATGCTACAACCATAATATAGCTGCAGTGTGGCTCTACCACATATATTTATATAGTTTAAATGACTTTCAATAAGTAATCTACATTACTTATATAAAAATAATTCTGTTCTATTTTATTCTATCCCGACGTCATAGATAGGTAAAGTTAGCTACTTTAAACTTTTAAGTATTTGCTTTTTGTCGGATGCATTCAAATATAAAATTAAATAGATCTCCTTTTATCACACGTTCTTAATTATACTGTTATTGTAAGAGAAACGGTTCACAATTTCACAGATCATAAGTGATGGCAACAAAAAAACTCAGAAAAAATGGCGGCAAATTTGACAAGAGATCGCGTTCCGTTCCGGTTCCTAATTCGAATGTTATGTGACACGCGCGGTATTAGATTCCATTTTTTGTCTATATTTTTTGGATTCCTCGTTACTGAAAATAAAACTTCTAATTTATTTATTTATTTCAAATCTTTATTGCACACCCATGAAACAGGTAACGTAAATGAACGCTTATGCCATCACATCACTCAATCGCTGCAAATTGGCAACATGGTTATAGTTATACATTTTTTTTAAATTTCTTATTCTTTATGTGGTCCACCGCTAGACATGGAGTTCCATTGAAGAAAGGCTATAATTTGATCAGGCTTGGAAGGCAGATTGACGATAGCGGTAACGACGTGAGCAACTTAGAAGCTGCCACCTAATCTGATGTAAAACAAACCTATTTTACATCTGGCTTAGTCAATATGGAATACATAATTTAAACTTTTTTCAATGGAAACGAAGCATTCCATCTTAGTCCACAGGGGTGACGACGCATCTGCGTTTTAATTCTTAATCGAGGGTAAATATATATGTCTACTTACCGTCAGGTGGACTGTGTGCACGTTTGTCACCCTATCCTATAAAAAAACTTGCGATTGTTGTCACTTGGTGAAGTTTGTTCACCAAGTCTCATTTTTGTTATTTTTTATAGAATAAGGGTGACAAACGAGTACACACGATGAGTCCACCTGATGGTAAGTGGATGCTGTGACCCATGGACATCTACATTTACCCTCGATTAAGAATCAAAACGCAGATGTGTTGTAACCCCTTATTACTAAGATGGAATGCCTCGTTTCCAGTAAAAAGGGGTATCCGGATCTCTACACTCACCATACGAAACACAGCAGTATTAAGCTGCTATTTTACGCTGGTATTCTGTGAGAGTATTTGGTAGACCTCTTGTACTTGTTTTATAATATTAATATTTAAAATAAAATCACCAAAAGAATATGGGATATTACCATCTTTTCTATATCGTTTTAATTTTTTTTATCGTTGTACATACATACATACATACAATACTATTTACTGCACACAAAATAATACAAAGAACAACAAACTTAAATTGATAAATTTATGTACAATTAGGTGGCCTTATCACTAAACAGCGATCTCTTCCAGGCAAACCTTGGTGAAGGAGATCTTTTACATATAAAAATATAGAAGTGTGCATAAATAGTAGATAAAAAATTATACATAACACATAACACACACACACACATATATATATATATATATATATATATATATATGTTAAGTATATATATATATACATACATAATCATACACATATATACATATTTATACATATACATATTTATAAATATTTTTATAACACATTATAGCTATATACATAGCATATATACACAAACCTTATCAAGTATAGTAGATATGAGAATGAAATATATTTTAAGTAGAACACATATTTCAATAATAATTTTTAACCAGTTTTTTGAAAGACTCAATGCTTTGAGCTTTCTTAATTGTTGTACGTGATAGAGCCACGCTGCATCTAAATTAATGATCTGGATAAATGTAGATTAATATAGTCTAGAGCATCCACTTACCATCAGGTGTCTAAATGATGGTGTATATCTTCCTTATTCTATTAAAAGAATTATAGGAAGCCTTATCATGTGTTTTTGCTATAGTTCCATGATAAGACAGGCACAGGACGAAATGGGATATTGGGTTATTTAACGCTATCACCACAAAGCGATACCATACATAGGTAGTCGACATTAAATTGGAAAAGATATAAAATAGTAAAAGTAAATTGGATCGGAAATAATAATTAAAAAGCTGAAGGTACGAAGGTACTCCGGGTCAACACTGACATCGGGTCAATATGATGGAATGCACCTGAAACGTTGGAAATTAAAAATCAAATTATTAAACGCGATAAAATCCATAAAAATAGTTTTAATCAATGTGTAGTGTTTGCGTAAATATAAGAAATC